TCATAACCCAAAGTAATCACAATCTTCAAATATCCAAATATACTCCAAAAATCCCATAACATAATCTCATAAACCCATGAAGACCCTAAAATAATTCGAATCATAATCAAAACTTGTTTCATAATCTCAAGATACTATAGTCCAATATTAAAACACAATATAGTTTCATAATCTCAATAGTTAAAAAAAAATTAAATTTCTATAATGCAAGACAATCCATCTTTCAAAGTAATGATCATTTAAAAACAAAGTTCACTCACAACAGGTTTACTCAATCTTGAGAGAGCTTTTCCCCGGGAATACGTGACGCAAGAATACCTATTTGAGAGAATAAACAGGCTTAATTAGTACGTGTACCCACCGACGAAGTAAGTGTCCAATACTACCAGAGAGTTTCTAAGGCCAAACTAACGCTTTTCGAAAGGTGGAACGCCCTTGAAAGACTCACTGTCAATCGAGTGGTCAAACTATCCCATATTGGTCAAACGGGCCCGTGTGGCACTCTAATCTGAAAGTCCCTAAAAGTTCAACAAGATTTACTTAACATGTCCTGTAAGTTTGGTCTCGATTGAGCGGTCGGATGTAAGACAGTCGCATGATCGGATGGCGATCGCTTTGCCTAACCCTAGCATTGTTGATTCGGAGTGCCTAGGACTCCAATTCTCAATCCGTGCGTGGGTGCCTTGAGAAATTTCCATCACTAGAAATTTCTCGAAACACCCTACAATACCTATAGCAACACATTCAGATTGTCAAGGGGAGCATTTTCGAACCCAAACCGTGAGCCCTAAGTGGGTGTTTTGAACAATCTTTGAAACCTCAAAATTGATCTACAATACCTACATAAAGGTATAGAGCACAAAGAGTAGATGAAGTTTCATACATGGCTCAACAATTTTGGCCGCCGGAATCACTGGAAATTGCACGAACACTCCAGGCGATGAACAAGGGTTTTGGCTCGGTTTCAGTCCAAAATTACGGTCAATCTTGGAGTACTGAAGGTTGAAATAAGTATGGACGTGTAGAGGAGGAAGAACGCCCAGGGAGGATATGAATAAGAAAGAGAGAGCTGATATGTTTTAAAACCCAACTTCGAAAAATTTACTGTTGTGCCACTACACTTCCGTTGACCACGACTTCTTTGTTAAAACTACGTTTGAGCCCACTACGTGTCTATGAACACGTGAGGGCAAACCCTAAGCAATGGTGCCACTCAATTCCCCAAAATTCTTTCGGATCAAAAGGTGACTAAATGGACCCTACCCTGAAAGGCAAAATTGTAATTTCACAATTACTTAAATTGTATAAAAATGATTAAATTGGGTCGGGGCGTTACACGGTAGACCGTGCTGGCACACCCGTGCACACCCATCCAACACAAAGTAGGACGACCTGTGTTGGAGCATAATCCCCTCGCCCTGGAGCACCAGGCCGTGAGATTTTGCGTAACCAACAATTCTGCCATGCGTGTTTGGGGAGCAATATCTCCTGATTGCACTAGTCGTCCCTAGCCACATGTGTATTGAGGATTCTGCATGTGGTCTAGTCAAACAATCTCTGTGTTGGATTGTTTCCCTCGTACTTGTTGATGGTGTAGTGATTATATATATATATATATATATATATATATATAAAAGGAGCTTCAGTTGAGGGATAACTCAAATAAGCTTATTTGAGGTACACTCTTGTAGGGCCCACACCTTATTGTATTTCACTAATCCGAACCATATATTTTGTAGATACTCATTCAAAGATCATCTCTACAAAAAATTACTTGAATCCGATATCATTTGACCACTCTATTGAATTATTGAAATTTTAGTACTTTCTTGAAGCACTATGTTCATTGATTTTGTAGGACAAAATTGGATATCCAAACGGTTTCTGATTTGTCTAATTTTTTGCAAGGATGATCCATGAATGTAGACTTAAAAAATAGATGGTTTGGATCATTGAATTTTTTTTTTTGTAGGGGACCCTAAAGGGTGTCCTCAAAAAAAATTATTTGAGGGATCCCTCAATAGAAGGGGACTGTATATATATATATATGTGGATTTAAGTGTGGATTGATTTCTAGGTTGAGGTTTCTTGAGCATGTGCATTGAGAGTACTCTACACCAGTATGAACATTTGGAATGACATTCAGAATTTAGATTGGATATTTGGAAATTACTTGGCACATTGTATTTTTGGAAGGGCATGGTTGCGAGAAAAAGGATTTTGGAAGGGCATGATTTCTAGGTTGAGGTTTCTTGAGCATGTGCATTGAGAGTACTCTACTTCTTCTCAAAACAGACTGGCTTGTTTGGCCTACGTTTTCTCCTCCGTCCACCCACGACCCACAAAATGTTCGTCTCTTCCTCCTCTACACATCCATACCCATTTCCACCTTCGAAACTCCAAGATTGTCACGATTTTGGACTGGAACCAAGAGATACCCTCGTTTCATCGCTGGAGGTATTCGTCTGATTTCTGGTGATTTCGGCGGCCAAACTCATCAAACCAGGTATGACTCATTGCTTGCTAAACCCAAGTGCAGGTGTTGCGCACTAGTAAATCTCGTAAGTCGAGTATCGTATCCACAGAGAGCGGTGTTAAAGTGCACAAAAAATGTAAGATAACTGCAACAAGAAGAATGTGATTAAAAGATTAGAAGAAAATTCAATGATAATAAAACACTAAGACGTCGGGGTTCCACCTTCAAAATACATATGTAATCCCATTAGTTTGATTCTCACTATGATTGTTCACAATTAAAATCCAATTTAATTTCGTTTAGAGAGAATTTCAAGTATAACCTGTACCTACAGCAACAACCTATCAAGAAATAATTTCAATGAAATCAAAGTAATCTACTAATTTTTCTCAAATCTCAAAAGCATGGATGTTTTTACTAAACTATAGGAAAAGCTTGACTGAACCTATGAATAAGATTATCAAGCACCCATCAATTGATCAAAGAGAAAAACTAAAATTAAATTGAACAAATCCATAAATAAGAATTTAACATTAAAGCTCCATCGAAATCAAACTAAGCTTCCTCTTTTGATAAGTCATGGTCTCTTACTCAGCACGTGATGAGTCTCCAATCAATTAACTTAGTTTTCTCTCTTACTTCATCTCTTTTGCAATCCAATAATCTGCCCACATAATTCCAATATTATTTGCCTACATAAAATGGGCCAAAGTCAATGCAAAATAATATTAAACTTTATTTGACCAATTAAAAATATAGTAGACCAAAATAAATAAATTAGTAAATAAATAAGCTCTAAGGGTATATTTTAGGGACATAAATGATGCACTTCACAGCTATTATCACACCTCCCAACCAGCTTATTGCTAGAGCCAAGCAATTCAAGCGTCTCAAAGGAAACTCTAGTTCAACCACAAATACAAGAAAACAAAAAAAACGAAAAAGAATAAAAATAAACAAGCCACTTTCGCAGGGAACTCGATTGCATTGAGCGTATGCAACAAGCCTTTAAACCTCAAAGTTACCCAGAGAGGACGAGTTATAGTCTCGTGAGGGTTTCCAGGGATGATACCCACAAACATCGAAGTATGAGGTTAAAATAATTTGCTTGGTCAAAACTTTGAAAATAAATCCAACACCCAACTGTCATTCACAAAAATAACACATCACAAAGCTTTGATTTTCAACTCACGAACAATGTTAAAAGAGAGAACACTTATCCAAAATTTCAAGTTCATCCCAACTCAAGGTCCAAATCATTTATAACAAGTTAATAAACCTTTCACAAATTTCCTTTAGTGTAGAGTGAACTAACACAATCATGTGACACAAGCTCAATTCCAATCATACCAACCTCCTTATAACAAGGATTTTCAGACACTCTTACCTAAAACAAACCTCTTTTTTTTTTTTTTTTTTTTTTTTTTTTTTTTTTTTTTTTTTTTTTTTTTTTTTTTTTTTTTTTTTTTTTTTTTTTTTTTTTTTTTTTTTTTTTTTTTTTTTTTTTTTTTTTTTTTTTTTTTTTTTTTTTTTTTTTTTACCCTTTTTTTTTTTTTTTTTTTTTTTTTTTTTTGCAGACTGTGCAATGTCTAACTCCATTAAGCTTTCTAATTTACCCATGTAGCGAGCGTTAGGCCAATGACTCTCAAACCCAAAGGCTTTAAGGCATTAGGTGAAAATACATCCCTATGAGCTTAATAACTCGGGTTAAAAAGGCTATGAAGCTAAACTAGTCACACAATATTTCACACCAAAACTCCACCGTTTGACGCGAACACTCACTGTTGATTAGGCAAGAGGCCCGGTTACTAAGTAAAATCTTGGATAGAACAATATACATATATATAAATTTATTTATTTATTATTTTTTTACACCAAGGTTAGTCAAGAGTAAGTTCATCCACTAACACTTGAACAAGAAGATTGAATACAACTGGTTTCTAAGCTTACTCCCCTAAAAAGTGTTAGTGTGCTTGTGCAAATTTCAAAGTGTAACTCATGAATTATTCACTAACCGGAAATAATGAAAAAGACTCAAAATCGGGATACTTATCATATTGCTCACGTGTTCTCAATCTTAAAATCACTCATGAATATCAAATCAACATGTAAGTTTAGTGCTTTCAAATTTACGACAGTAGGTATAAGGATTGAGAAGGTAATGTAAAGTTAACAACATCACAAATGTCTAACCTCATAAAGAAAAATAAATAAAACAAAAAACAAAAAAAACAAAAACAACAAAACAAAAAAAAAAAAAAATTTCCTTTCCCCCCCAAATTGGAATTTAAAATGTTGGGAAAAAAATTAAAAAAACACACCTTTCCCCCCCCCCCCCCCCCAACTGGAAATTGACATTGTCCTCAATGTGAATAGGCAAAATAGAAAAAACGCTCATAAAAGACAAGGGTGAGGAAGGAATGCACTTGGAGTGTCAAAAGATCTCCAAAAGATTCCCTGCAACAAGTAAGTGTAAAGACAAGATAGAGAAAGCAAAGGGTTAGACAGTAGAAAGTGTAGAGGATCAATCCTCATAAACTGGAGTCTCCAAAGGGACGGTCTCGTCCTGCAAAACAATAGTCTCCAAGAATGGCTTAAGGCGTTGACCGTTAACTTTAAAAACATCACCATTTATGGGGTTCTCAATCTCCACAGCTCCAAAAGGAAAAACTCTTTTCACCACAAAAGGACCTGTCCATCGAGAACGAAGCTTTCCAGGAAATAGATTCAATCGTGAATTGTACAAAAGAACTTTCTGTGAAGGCTCAAAAGTTTTTCTCAGAATATGTTTATCATGAAAAACTTTAATTTGATCCTTGTAAATTTTTGAATTTTCATATGCATCATTTCGAATTTCTGCCAACTCATTTAATTGAAGCTTTCGAAGTGAACTGGCATCATCCACATTAAAATTAAACATCCGTATAGCCCAATAAGTTTTATGTTCCAATTCCACAGGCAAGTGACAAGCTTTCCCAAAGATTAATCTATAGGGAGACATACCAAGCGGGGTTTTAAAAGCAGTACGATATGCCCAAAGCGCATCGGTTAGTCGGAGAGACCAATCTTTGTGATTTGGGTTTACTGTTTTCTCCAAAATTTGTTTTAATTCCCGATTAGCAAGTTCAACTTGGCCACTTGTTTGTGGATGATAGGGGGTAGCGACTTTATGAGTTATACCATATTTTTTCATTAAAGCCTCAAAAGGTTTATTGCAAAAATGCTTTCCCTCATCACTAATAATGGCTCGAGGTGTTCCAAATCTTGAGAAAATATTTTCTTTTAGAAACCGTAAAACTGTTTTATGATCATTAAGTCGACAAGGAACAGCCTTGACCCATTTTGAAACATAATCAACTCCTACCAAAATATATAGATACCCAAAAGATGCAGGGAACGGACCCATAAAATCAATGCCCCAACAATCAAATATTTCAATCACTAAAATGGGGTTTAAAGGCATCATATTTCTACGAGTTATGGCCCCCAATGTTTGACAACGTTCACAGGTCCAACAAAAAATATTAGTATCCTTAAAAAGAGAAGGCCAATAAAATCCACATTGCAAAATTTTTGCAGCAGTTTTGTTTACAGAAAAATGAGCACCAGATGCTCCATTGTGACAAAAAGAAATTACAGCATGAATTTCATGATCAGGCACACATCTACGAATAATTTGATCCGGGCAATATTTAAACAGATATGGATCATCCCAAAAGAAATTGCGTACCTCAACCAAAAACTTTTTCCGATCTTGCACATTCCAATGAGATGGAACTTGACCTGTAGCAAGAAAATTAACTATATCAGCAAACCAAGGTAATTCAGAAAGAGCAAAAAGTTGCTCATCAGGGAAAGAATCATTAATTGGGGTATTTTCAAAAGATTCATCAAAAACCAATCGGGATAAATGATCAGCCACAACGTTATCTACTCCCTTTTTGTCCTTAATGGTGATGTCGAATTCTTGAAGTAACAAGATCCACCTAATTAATCGAGCCTTAGCATCCTTCTTGGTGAGAAGATACTTTAAAGCGGCATGGTCAGTGAACACAACAATAGGGGATCCAACCAAATAAGCACGAAATTTATCCAAAGCAAATACCACTGCAAGAAGTTCTTTTTTAGTTGTGGAATAATTCATTTGAGCACTATTCAAAGTCCTACTTGCATAGTGAATGACATAAGGTTTCTTATCCCTTCTTTGTCCCAAAACAGCCCCAATAGCATAATCACTAGCATCACACATAATTTCAAAAGGTAAATTCCAATCAGGTGGTTGCATGGTAGGAGTAGATGTCAACATTCCAATTAATTTATCAAAAGCAACTTGGCAAGCATCAGTCCACTCAAAAGGAGAATCTTTTAGTAGGAGATTACACAATGGTCTAGATATAACACTAAAATTCTTGATAAATCTCCTATAAAAGCTAGCATGTCCTAAGAAGGATCTAACATCTTTTATGGTTTTTGGAATGGGCAATTTAGAAATTAATTCAATTTTCGCTTTATCCACTTCAATGCCTTTAGCAAAAACAATATGACCCAGGACAATTCCAGAAGGAACCATGAAATGACATTTTTCCCAATTCAAAACAAGATTTTTCTCTTGACATCTAACCAAAACTTTTTCCAAATTACTCAAACAATCATCAAAAGAATCACCAAAGACAGAGATATCATCCATAAAAACCTCAAGAAATTTCTCCACCATATCACTAAAAATACTAAGCATGCATCTTTGAAAAGTAGCAGGAGCATTACATAATCCAAACGGCATTCGACAAAAAGCAAAAGTACCAAAAGGACATGTAAAAGTTGTTTTCTCTTGATCTTCAATTGCAATTCCAATTTGATAATAACCAGAGTATCCATCTAGAAGACAATAAAATTCATGACCAGCAACCCTTTCTAAGATTTGACCAATAAAAGGCAAAGGAAAATGGTCTTTTCTTGTGGCAGAATTAAGTTTCCTATAGTCAATACACATGCGCCAACTAGAAACAATTCTAGTAGGAACCAATTCATTTTTATCATTTTTAACTACAGTTATGCCAAATTTCTTGGGGACAACTTGAATAGGACTGACCCAATCACTATCAGAAATTGGGTAAATAATACCCGCATCCCATAGTTTCAAAACCTCAGTTTTAACTACTTCTGTCATGCTTGGATTTAATCTACGTTGTGCATCCCTTGATGGTTTAGCACCCCCCTCTAAAAATATTTTATGAGTACAAACAAGAGGGCTAATTCCTTTGATATCAGCAAGTGTCCAACCAATGGCAGATTTATGAGTATTTAAAACATTAAGTAGCTTACCTTCCTGTGAAGAGTTTAATTCAGAAGATATTACCACAGGAAAAGTATCATTAGGTCCCAAGAATGCATGCTTTAGACCTGCTGGTAGAGGTTTTAACTCTAATTCAGGCACCTCCGCATTAGATGGCTTTGGCGGGACTTGAGGTGGCAACGTTTCAAATGTGGGTGGCCATTTTTTAACGTTTTGCACCTGCAAAGAGTCAAAACAAGAAAGAATTTCAGCAACTTCAGGGTTTAATTCATCTTCATCAATATTAGAATTCACTAAAAAATTCTCCAAAGAATCAGGCATGCTGTTTTTCACAAATTGATCATGGGCAAGAGGTGAAATCAAATTCACAACTTCAGATTCCTCATCTTCATATGGCTGCCTAAACACATTAAATATGTTAACTTCCATGGTCATATTCCCAAAATTAAGTTTCATCACCCCACTCCTGCAGCTAATGTTAGCATCACATGTAGCCAAGAAAGGTCGACCTAAAATCACAGGAATTTGGTTGTTAGAATTTAAAACAGGTTCAGTGTCCAAAACAATAAAATCAACAGGATAATAAAATTTGTCCACTTGGACCAACACATCCTCAATAATCCCTCGGGGTGTCTTGACGGAACGATCGGCCAGTTGCAGTTTCACCATTGTAGACTTAAGCTCTCCAAGACCTAGCTGCAAGTAAACTGAATAAGGCAGTAAATTGACACTGGCCCCTAAATCAAGTAGAGCACAATCAATAAAATGTTCTCAAATAACGCATGAAAGAGTAGGACTCCCTGGGTCCTTATATTTTGGAGGCATTTTGTTTTGCAACACCGAACTGACATGAGCAGCTAAAAATGCAGTTTTCTTGACATTATGCTTTCTCTTATACGTGCACATATCTTTCAAAAATGTAGCATAAGCAGGAACATGTTTAATTGCATCTAACAATGGAATATTAATTTTAACCTATTTGAAAAGATCCAAAATTTCAAAGTTTTGACCAATTTTTCTTTGGGGAAGCAAAGCTTTAGGAAAAGGTGCAGGCACATGATAGTGTTTAGCAATTTCACTTTCCTTGGACTTGTCAAGTTCGTTATTGCTCTTAGATTTTTCAACCTCTTTAGATGGAGGTGTAGTATCAATTTTTTATCCATTTCTAAGAGAAATAACAGACTTTGCATGTTCATATCCAATTTCACATGAACTAACACCTTTAGGATTTGCTTCAGTGTTGGAAGGAAAATTCCCTTTTTCATTAACAGCCAAAGAATTAGTTAATTTGGAAATATGACTCTTAATTTCTTTATTTTCCTCAAACAATTGATTAAACATTGAATCATACCTTTGACTTTGCTTTTGGTTCTCCTGTATGAAAGCTTGAAGAGTATCTCCCAATCATGGTTTAGGATTAAATGAATTTGGAGCAGATGATTGATGGTTAGGGAAACTTACCTGAGGGTGGGACTCATTATTCCTCCAACGGAAATTAGGATGATTTCTTGTTGCTGGATTGTAGGTCTCAGAAAAAGGAGAATATGCCATTTGATAATTTCCTATGACTGCACATCGTTCTTCATAAGCTCCTTTCATCTCCTGTAACAAATGACAATTTTTAGTGCAGTGACCAATCTCGTAACAAACATCACAAATCTGATTAATATCGGTGGAATAAACGTGTTGGGGTGCATTAGATTTTCCGATTTTTAAAGCAGCTACCTCTTTGGCCAAATTCTCGTATTTTAATTTCAAATCGCCTTCCTCTTTTAATTGAAAAATTCCTTTACTAACAGAAGAGGAAGCAGACTTAAAGCGGTCAGTACTTTCAAATGGGCTAGGAGTGGTCCATTGATTAGATTTTTCAGCAATTTCATCAAGAAAATTTAAGGCCTCATCAGGATCTTTTTGCATAAATTCACCATTACACATAGACTCAACAAATTGCTTATCTCGAGGAAGGAGTCCATCATAAAAGTGACTAACAAGTCGCCAATTCTCAAAACCATGATGTGGACAAAGACTCAAAAGTTCTTTAAATCGTTCCCATGTTTGATACAATGTTTCACTTTCTTTTTGAGCAAAATTTGAGATTCTTTTCTTCAAAGCAATTGTCTTATGATTTGGAAAATATTTCTGAAAAAAAACATGAGTCATATCAGTCCAAGAAGTAATAGACCCAGTCCTCAACGAATATAACCAACTTTTTGCTTTTTCTTTCAAAGAGAATGGAAAGAATTTTAATTTTATGATCTCAATTCTATCATTTTGATTATAAAACGTGCTTACAGCATCTTCAAATTCAGTAACATGCACATATGGATCTTCACTATCCATCCCATGAAAAATAGGAAGGAGTTGAATCATGCCAGGTTTAAAATCGTAGTTGGGCATATTAGCTGGAAAAACAATGCACGAAGGAGATGCAGTACGGCTAGGATGCAAATAATCATTTAATGTTCTAACTGGAGGATTTTCACCTTCATTAACTTGATCACCCATGGTTTCAGATTCACTAGAGATATCAAAAAGATTTCTGAATAAAGTTTCTGATTCAGGTCGTTTAGCAAATCTTCCTAGATGATCTCTATACCGCATGTAAATTCAAACAAATAAATAAAAAGGAAAGTGTACCTAATGTAAAGAAAATCTTGCGGTCTTCATAAAGCCGCTCCTTGCAAAGACGCCAAAAATTGCTTGCTTAACCCAAGCGCAGGTCACGCGCAATAGTAAATCTCATAAGTCAAGTATCGTATCCACAGAGAGCGGTGTTAAAGTGCACAAAATATGTAAGATAACTGCAACAAGAAGAATGTGATTAAAAGATTAGAAGAAAGTTCAATGATAATAAAAGAGTGTACCGAATGTAAAGAAAATCTTGTGCTCTTTGTAAAGCCGCTCCCCGGCAACGGCGCCAAAAATTGCTTGCTAAACCCAAGTGCAGGTGTTGCGCAATAGTAAATCTCGTAAGTCGAGTATCGTATCTACAGAGAGTGGTGTTAAAGTGCACAAAATATGTAAGATAACTGCAACAAGAAGAATGTGATTAAAAGATTAGAAGAAAATTCAATGATAATAAAACACTAAGACGTCGGGGTTCCACCTTCAAAATACATATGTAATCCCATTAGTTTGATTCTCACTATGATTGTTCACAATTAAAATCCAATTTAATTTCGTTTAGAGAGAATTTCAAGTATAACCTGTACCTACAGCAACAACCTATCAAGAAATAATTTCAATGAAATCAAAGTAATCTACTAATTTTTCTCAAATCTCAAAAGCATGGATGTTTTTACTAAACTATAGGAAAAGCTTGACTGAACCTATGAATAAGATTATCAAGCACCCATCAATTGATCAAAGAGAAAAACTAAAATTAAATTGAACAAATCCATAAATAAGAATTTAACATTAAAGCTCCATCGAAATCAAACTAACAAAACCACATAGTATCTCGAAGGCTTTCCCCCTAGCCTTAGCTAGGGAGTTAGTTCTCCATAACAAAGAACAATAACTCTAGAAAAACAAAGTGTTTTGGGCCAAAAAGCAGAATCCTCGAGACACAGCAAGTAGCTCCCTTTTATATCAGTGAAACCCTAATCCCTTAGGAGTTATTTTCTCCTTGAATTTAACTTCTCCACAGTCCTATGCATGCACGTCAGCTTCCTCTTTTGATAAGTCATGGTCTCTTACTCAGCACGTGATGAGTCTCCAATCAATTAACTTAGTTTTCTCTCTTACTTCATCTCTTTTGCAATCCAATAATCTGCCCACATAATTCCAATATTATTTGCCTACATAAAATGGGCCAAAGTCAATGCAAAAAAATATTAAACTTTATTTGACCAATTAAAAATATAGTAGACCAAAATAAATAAATTAGTAAATAAATAAGCTCTAAGGGTATATTTTAGGGACATAAATGATGCACTTCACAGCTATTATCACTCATCATGCTCTACTTGTTTATGTGCTTGATTTGGGTTAATTTTGAGGTTTTAGAATTTGATTTCTAGCCTCTTATTATGCCGACAGTTTCGGCTTCGTTCCATCTAATTCCGTTTAGTTTTTGGCCGTGGTCCAAGAACCAAAAATGCTCCCCGAGTTGTGCTTGATATGTTGGTATAGTCGTCGCTTGAAATTTCTCAAGATACCCACGCGCTACCATGGCGGTGCGTAAGCCCTGTTTTGGTAACTTGTTTTCGACCTAGATTTATTTCTTCGTCATCCTGAGCACGATGGTATGCTCAAATTTGAATTTGGTTATCATTTGACTATCGAATGGATATTGTGCCTATTATGCGATATTTGGATTCGATTAGCTCCAATTTCAAGTATGTTATTCCATGTACCTCTAGGATCTTCTAGGAACTTGCGGATCGAGATTCGGAGTGAAGGATACTCTGAAACAATGATTCTAAGTAGGCGAAACGATCGTAGTCCGATCGTGCGATTGGCTTAGATCCGACCGCTCGATTGAGACCAAATCTTCCAAACTTGATCAGTAGACTTTGTTGGATCTATAGGAAATTTCGGATCAGGAATCGGAGATCGTGGGCCCGGCTGGCCCAATTGACCAATATGGAAAGTTTGACCATTCAGTTGACCATGAGTCTTTCGAGACCATCTCATCCTTCGGGAAGTGCTAGAATGGCCCTATAAACCTTTTTAAGGGTTAGGCATACTTTGACACCTGGAAACTAGAGTTTTGAGTTAAAGTTTGTTGTTGGGTATGTTTATTAAATAAGTCCATTTATTCTCTCAAATAGGTACCCAGGCACAATGTATCACTCAAGATGAACTCGCCCACCTTTGAATTAGCTTTGGACTTGTTGTGAGTGGACATATGTTTTTAAATGAACATTGTTTTTCAAACGTGGAGTTGCTTGCATAAATGTGATCTGATTGGAAAATTGGTTATTTTGGGTTAATGAGTTTATGGGATTTTATTGTCAAGCTATCTGCCTGATGCCGGACAAGAAGCAGGGTTCGTCACGGGTTTTGAGGGGGAATCCGGGGCAGGTCTTATCATATGCAATATCAGGGTTCTATAGGTTCGGACTGTTCGATCAGTTTCAATTTCAATTATGTCATTCCCAAGCCTCTAGGATCGTGTAGAAACTTATGATAGAGAATCGGAGTTCGGATACTTCGAATCAACGATCATAGGGTTAGTTGTACCAGTCGCCATCCGATCGTGTAATCGAGAGTGATATAACTGCTCGATCGAGACTAAACCTTTGGGACTTGTTTAGTAGACTTTGGTGGACCTATAAGAACTTTCGGTTTGGAAATCGGAGGTCGTGGGCCTGACGAGCCCGATTGACCATTATGGAAAGTTTGACCATTCGGTTGACCATGAGTCTTCCGAGACCTTCTCATCCTTCGGGAAGTACTAGAATAACCCTATAAATCTTTTTAAAGGTTGTGCACACTTCAAGACTCGGGAACTAGAGTTTTGAGTTAAAGTTCGTAGTTGGGTACGTTCATTAGTTAAATTCAGTTACTCTCTCGATCTAGGTCCTCGTACTTAACGTACCCCAGAGGAAGAGCCCTATCAAGGTTGAGCACTATGATATGGGATTTCTTGGGATCAGTATTGTTATTATTGTTATTATTATTATTAAGTATATGTTATTAGATATATTGGTTTATGAAAGCGGATCTCAGATTTTGGCTATCGGTTACACGCCATGATAGGTACCATCCCTGATTAGATATGGTTACTTTACCACACAGCGAGGTAGGATTCTGGCGTGTGGACTCACATGTCAAGGTAGGATGCTGGCATGTGGGTTAAGATCCCGGCACCCTTAACTGGGTGTGCTATAGGCCTATAGCGAGTAGTCTATCCTGTGGTCTAGTCAAACAATCCCCCAGTTGGATTGTTTCCCCCGATACATGTTGATGATGTGTTGAGTTTGGGTGTGTATATATGTATATGTATACAGGTATATTTGTGGAGATACTTTCCAGGTTGAGATTTCTTGAGCACGTGCATTGAGACTACTCTACATAGGTATGAACATTTGAAATGAAATTTGGATTTGAGTTTGGATATTTGGAAATTACTTGGCCTTTTATGTTTTGCAAGCATACGCCTAAGAAAGGGTATAGTTGTAGGAAAAATGATTTTTGGCTTTTGATGATTATATTTTATATTAACAGGTTTATTTTGGTGCTTTGAAATATATAGTTTTACAATAAGGATTAAATGAAAAAGTTTATGTTTTTCCAGAATTTGAGGAGTATTAATTAAATAGTTTTCCTTATAGTATATCTTGATATAAGTATACTAAGTGGAATTATTTTCAAGCGTCGAACGTTATATATGTACGTATACAAAGGATTTTATAGCATAGTGTTTTGGTATTATTTTCTAAAATGGAGGGGGTTAATTATGTTGAATATACATTATGTTTAACACTTTGGTTTTGTCCACTCACATTTTCTGTTTTCCGCCCCCTCAGGTCCTAGATATCCGAGGTCGAAACCACCACGTTGAGGCATCGTGACGTGGTGGTCTCGACCTCAAATATCTAGGACCTAGGGGGTGGAAAACAGAAAATATGAGTGGACGAAAACAAAGCGTCAAACATAGTTTATATTCAATATAATAACACCCTCATTTTTTGAAAATAATGCCAAAATACTATGCAACCAAATCCTTTTGTATACGTACATATATACCATCTGATACTTGAAAACAATTCAATTCAGTATACTTATATCATGTCAAAAGATAAGGAAAATCATTTAATTAATACTTCTCAAATTCTTGGAAAACAAACACCCACCGGTTAATATAAAATATAATCATCAAACCCTTATTAAAAATTATACTATATTAATATTATATTCTTAGGTTGATCAGCAAGCAACTTTGTAGAACCTTTTCAGTCTAGTTACCAAAGAACCAATTCACAAAACCTGAAGGGAATTTCTAAATTTGGCTCTTTAACCATAAGTCCAATGCTACCAACGTGTCTCTTTGAGCCACACCAATAATCAATAACAAAAAATAACAAATAAGATTCAATTCCCAGCAAAATTGCCTAAAATTAGCAAAGAACATCACATTAAATGGAAGGTTTCTCAGTCTCGTAATCATCATCTCCTCCAAAATCCTCTCTCTCTCTCATAGTCCTCATTATCGAAGTCTACAGCCATTTTTAATTTATTTTGAAGATCAAATGGCCATGTCCAAGACATTTACACTTTGCATTGTTGCTCTCTTGGTGTGCTCGATTTGTAGTGAAACGGGGAATGCAAAAGATATCAGTAATGGGGTAATAAGCCGTGATCAGCCAGGTGGTTGCAGGGAGTCACGGTGCATGTCTCCACCATCCAACACTTATAACAGAGGTTGTGAGAAGGGGAAGGAGTGCAGAGGTGGTGGTCGTAAATTTAAATGAGTCTTCAGAAGCACAACATATAGTCAAGAAGGGGACACACCAAGAAATGGAGCTTAAAACACTAATTAAATAGGGATGCTCATTCTTTTACATAAATATATTTATTATACTACTCTTGCCATATTGTGAACATGATGTAATAAAGAATAACATTATTTAATCAATTTCAAAAGAGTTCAA